GCAAATCACAGCAGTTTCTTAAGAGTTAACTCTGCTCTCCCCATCCATCAGGCAGCCAGCGAGGCATCAGGAAGGAATGATGGATGTAAAATTATTACAGGGCTGCCACCCGATATACTTACTGCCATTTGTAACTAACGCTGGAACTGACACACTTTTTTCATTATTAAACATCCACATTAAGTCAACATTGGTCACTGTCATTTCATGTTTGGCACTCTCTTAAGAGGAAGGGGGAGAGGTGGGGGTGGGAGTGGGGAGGATGGCGGGAGGAGAGGCGGGTGGGAATGGGAGGAAAGGCGTCCCGAATCTGGTGTTCCATAAGCATGAGTAATAAATAGGCTCTTGCTTACAATGCTGGAATAAATATTGTTACAAATAGCTCTTTAGTTTACAGCCCAGCAGACAAGTACGTGTCAGAGCCTTTTAAAAGGATGCACTCCAAGCGCTAACAGGGAGAACTTGTATCACAGGTTAAGAAACACTTCAGCACAGGAGGTGTACGTATTCGGATGCACTCATCTCCGAGAGTGCTACAGGCGCGACTGCGTCCGCACGCGTCTGAAACGCTTGTGCGGCTGCGCGTGCTCAGGCAGCTGCCCCAGCCGCCGGCGTTCGGAAACCAGTACCTGCGGTGGTACCCGTGCGCCCAGACACCCGCTCGTGTGCCCCCTTCCTCCTTTCTTTACAGGTACCAGGGCACATGCAGAATGTTTGAGCGCCTGCCTACAGTCAGAAAATCACTGGCTAGCTCAGTGCATGTTTGTGCTGTGTATCCCTGAACGAGTGCACTGTAGGCTTGTATGCATGCACACACATGCTGGCTCTCTGTGTTTGCGTATGTCTCCTTTGCAGGGGAACAGGCAGGTTTTGGGGCCGAACAAATAGACCGGAGTCCGCTTGCTGACGTTGCCCGTTGTGGTGTTTGCACTAGATGACAATCTGCGCTCTAAGGCACACGTATAAAAGGTAACATTGTTTATGTATAGTACATATCAAGCTATAATTAACTGTAGATGACAATTACAAATAAAACTATGCTCCTGGGTTTCCAAGAAACCAGAAAAACATATACACAGACTTCTCATTTATACACGGAAATGTTTCCAAGAAAAGTAATGTAAAAATATGTTTTATTGCATTTGCAATTAAAATAGGTTTTAGTAAAATCCATGTTCATCATGATGCTCATAGTTTTTACTGTAATCCCCTGAAAATCAAATCCCTCAAGATGGTCCAAGTTGGATGCCCATAAAGGGACTCACCCAAATCATCCTAGCCATTTTTAAAAATCTTTTCTCATTTATGACTCCTTTTATACAGCGCCTCTCCAATTCCACGAAATTCCTGTCTGACTACTGCCTTACAGCTGGCAGGTCCGGCTGTCCACAGGGATCAACCAATCTGGGAAGACAAGCCAGATAACGGGTCGTGTATATGTGTGGAGAAAAGCCCCAAGAGCTTTAACAGAGACTCACAAAGGTGATTTCCAGTCCCGAGCCTGCCTGGCCACCCCTGGCAGATAACCCCCTACATGTTCAGAACTGCATAGAACCTACCATCACTGGTAGGCTGTGACAGCAATTCATGCAACAAAAAACTCAATGGGTCTCAGAGGACAGCAAGTCACTACAACTGCACTGGCCACTGCAGCAAAGAAGGGAGGAAAATTGGGGATAGCCCCAGATGGGTGTTTGTTGCCTCTAAAGACTGAGATCACTCTACAGGGAGGAGAGTGATCCTTCTTCCATACATGACTATAGGCATAATGTAAATTTCTAAGCATGAGTATGTCCAGGACACATAAGTACGTTAGGCTAGCCCTCTTTTAATTCCATCCCCCACCTCAAAACCTCCCTGTCAGGAAGCAACCAGTGAGCAAACGTAATGTCCCAGAACCTCCGGGGGCTGCGTCTAAGCCCCCCAGTGGGACCCCGAGCTTCTGAAGGGAAGCCCTCAGTGGTAACACAGGAGCACCATTTCTCACAACCCACCTTCCCAATTATTTCTTCTTCTTTCCTCTGAAAACAGGGAAAACCAGAATAAAATTCCATTCAAAATGGCAATATTTGCCTTCTCAAATCCTGCTCTTAAGAAGAGAGAAAATGTTAAAGTGCTAGATCAAACAGCCACAAACTTTAGAGAAGTTGGGGTGTTTGGATCTGAACTTCACAGTCAGGGGATGGCCTAGAGCATGTATGGGGAAAGGAGAACAGGTACCTAAACTTCACAGCCTATGGCTTTTCCTCTGTTGCGTCAAATGCAAGAGACAGCTCAGGAGACCCTACAAGAAGTTAAAAAGTACAACTTCTTAACTAGTGGCTTAGGGGCTTAAGTGGTCACCCCAGTAACTCAAATGCCATTATAGTCTAGGAGACTTCAAACCGGGTTCTGTCCTTCCCTGTCTCCACTTTAAAAATAAAATAAAATAAAATAAATCAGTGCGCCCCAATAAAGTTTTGGCATTTATTGTATAAAAAACCCCAAACCCTACAGTCGCTTTAGGAAAATTTTCAATTGAGCAGACAATTTTTTCTTCCTGCTCACTTGTAAAAGAACTCCTCTCTGCCCTCCACGAGCCCACCAGGAGGCATGAATTAGAGAGGAAAATAAACTTCAACTGGGGTTGAGGGCGAGAAGTGAAAACAGAAGGGGTAAGGAGAATCCCAACAATAGGAAAGTAACAGAATAAAGTGAATGCAGATGGTTCCACTCCTGTTACTTAATCAAAAGGCTGTGCAGAGTCACTAGAGCCAGCATAAAGTCATGTGTTAGAACAACAGCTGATCTGTATTAAAGAAGATTAACTCGCAATGCCATGGTGGAGGGCCTGGGATTATTTTATGTACTTCCATTGCCGAACAAGCCGTCAGCACAATTACTGCCCTCCGATGTGAATGACTGATCTGTAACCACAGCTAAACAGCATGCTGCTTAGGGGCCTGGGTGCTTCATGAAGATGAATTTCCATACCATCAAAGTGCTTTTAATGGGCTTCCTGATCCAACCACAAGGCCTGCTTTGCAAGTATATAGAACTCAGGATGAAGGCTTCCTGTCCAAAAGGATTTGGTCGGTTGTCACTTGACAATTCCCAGCCAGCACAAGGGAGGAGAGGGGGGAGATAGGTAGAGTTGTCTCTGCTTTGGAGGATTAAAAAAAAAAAAAAAAAAAAAAAAAAAAAGGGTACAGATGCTTTCTGAATGCAACCAACTGCTGTATCCACAGCTGAATTCAATGCGCTTAACAAATAACGGCAATTTAGCTATGCTTGCGAGGAATAGCTTGAGTCACTTTGCATTAGCATCTGGCTGAGTGTTAAAGTCATTTCTACACGGGGAGCAGAGAAAAGAAATTTCTGCTCCGAGCATCCTTTCAAGAATGCTTAAATATTTGAATATAAATTCCTTTGTGCTTGTGATCACTTCTTCTTATATCTGACACTCTGCTTTTCCCTTTTCCCTTCTGGTACTCTTCTATGTGAAATGCTGTAAACATGCTCCATCCCTCTTTCTTTCTCTCTCCCCATACCAGCGCTCTTATTCTTCGAAGAGAGATTGTACGTACTGCCAGATACCTATTACACTGACCTCTTTTTTTCCTTCCCCTTCCTCTCAAGAAAGTGCATGAAATTGGAGTCATTTCTACATCACTTACACCCAGGATAGGCAGATGAAAAAAGTACAGTAGTGAGAGACTCTCATGTACATTTAACATTCATTACCCAGACTGCTGGCTTCTCACAGCTTATTGATCAAACTCCATCTAAAAACAGGGAAAATGGAAAGCTATCCAAATTAGCAATCTGCTCATTCTGGACAATATTGTTTGACTCACAAGCTTCCTAGGATGACTGACTTTCAAGTTTCTGCTAAATAGCTGATCATTTTTATTCATTCCATTTATCTGGCTATCCCAGTGATTCACACAAGGCCTTACAGTGAAAAGTCACTAGAAGCGGTTTCAAAAAAAAATATTCAGTTTACACCAAATGCAGCAACGGCCATCTCCATTGTACTGCAGGATGAAGGCTGTATCATCTCAGAAAATACTGCAAGGGAAGAGAGAAACTGAGGAAAAAGTCTTGTTAAGCATCTGGCGTTGAGACGCAGACAAGAGTTTGGATGTCTATCCTGGGTGGCAGTAAGGACAGCTCAGTATAAATGTGGCAGCAAGGACTAGCAGGTCTATTTATCCTCTGTAAGCTAGGGCAGGGCACGGAAAGGCATCAGGTATTTCCAGATAAAAGCACCAAATCACAACCGCTTTGACACACGCGGTGGTTACCTACAAATATTACTGGAGAATATTCACTTTGTCGCTATTCTGTTATAGCACGACTTCACAGGCCAGTTCAAAAGCAGAACGTGGTAAGGCCCCTACGTTCTGCTGCTTCTAAGTTTCACTGCAAATACTCGGTGCAGTTTGTGTTGTCAATTCTCCATTTTTTCAATTTGGTTAAGTCATCTAACGCGACGTGACAGTGCTACATTGCAATGGTCACAAAATATCATATGTGACAACTTCAGAAGGCTAAATACCCAGAAGCTGAGCCTGAGTATCAGCAAAGCTTATGTTCCTAAAAGAAGCTTGAATATTTTCAAATCCAGCTCATCTCACAAACACATGTAAGCATTTCCATAAAGCAAGATTTCCACTTAGATCCAGAGATTTCCAAGATCACCTTCTCATAATACACGTTGACAGGCTGCGACAGAGAATTAGTGGCCTCCAAAGTTCTCGTGAGGGCTTTAACTACCTCTGCCTCCACTCCCCTCTCCCCCAAGCGTCTCCAGGGCTCGCTCTCATGTCAGCTTTTGGTTGCAGTTTTCAGATTACCTTTCACTTTTCCTGAAAGAAGCAACTGTTCTGTTTAAAAACGGGGAAGAAGAAAACAGAGCAAGAAAAAGGAGGGGGGGAAAAGGAGGAAGCAGCTATGTATCTATAAGAAGAGCCGCGTGCCATCCCTGACCCTTTGCAAAGGGAGTCTCGGAAACTCACCTTTTCTGTCCTGCAGTTATTGAGACCCAGGCTGTTCACTACGGCCACCTTCCCGTCCAGCACCTGTTGTTCCCTCCGAAGCTGCTCCTTCATCTGTCGGGCCTCCTGGATTGCCTTGGTAACAGCATCGTGGTCATTTAAATAACCTGACGACGTGATAGAAGAAAGGATATCTTAAAAAAAGAAAGTTACAAGAAAACACTTTAGCTTTCACGGATGAAACGCACCGGTAGTTAATAATGATAAATGACAAAGAGTTAAAAGGTAATGCCCAGAAACCCGTCCGTGCTTTGTAATTCTGTTACTGCTATGAGAGAGCCACCTGGATAGAAAGCATGCGAAACCTCGGTGCCAAAATCATCGTCCTGATATTTGATCCCATTAGTTTCAATATTTCCCTGACACTGCAGAGGTTAGCCCTGCGGTTTGTATGCAGCAGGATGTAACCGGATAAGAGTTAGAGGAAGCTTTGATCACGCAGCAATCCCGACCTCTTAAAAATAGACCATTTCATTCTTCCCCTTCTTAAAACTAGCGAGTACATTAAAATAAACCACAGGTGGCGGTGGTTTGCTATAGATATGAAATGCATAATGGCTGGGAAGAGAAACCTCATCCACTGAATGCTCCCCACCACCACCTGTCATTCAGAAATGTATAAGAAACCACAGCTACACGGACCTATATTCCCACTCCTATTCACGCTGCTAATAGTAGGTCAAATGTCCACTGTTTGCTGCAAATTCACAGCCTAGGGCTTAGCCTTAGTAGTCGCTGAATTATTTCCTTTTAAAATGTTACAAGCATCACCGGCACAGCTAATAGTATTTAATTTTAAATGTGACACTTTGTCATTTTTTTTCCTTTCGCGTACTGTAGATTATACTTATTATGATCTGCATGTGATTTGTAGGATAGAATACTGATGGGAGACTCCAAGCCCCAGTCTATTTTTCAAACATTAAAGGAGAGGCTAATATCTATCAATCTCCCTCCCCCTCTCCACATCCCCACACGCGCGCGCACGCACACACTTCTTTCTGTCTTTTAACTAGGGCATAAAAACGGCATAAAATGAATCTGTAATATGAAATTGCCCAGAAAAGGGACTTCTGTTTGTGACATGAGGCTAAATCTAACCAGATCCATTGGTGAATTGTGACAGATGGAGGGACTGTGAGACAGAAGGCAGGCACTAATCACACACAAAATGACCGGCTTGCCTCAACATGTTCCATGGATTCCAGCAAACTTTACACCCTAATCCATTTTTAGAACAAAAAACATCTGGGCCATAAATCCTCTAATCTGCCAAAACACGCTATTAAATCCCATGATTTGTTGAAAAACACTAAGATTAAAGAAAGGAAATATAAAATGGCTAACTGCCGTGTTAGGAAAGTGTTATTAATACTCTTTCTTTGTCTCAATTATGAATGTTCTGTTCCTAAAGAGCCTTGTCTAATCATGTCAGATTACACATCCTTGTTGTATTGCTAGACTCTTCTATCTGATCCGCCGATTGCCAAAAAACGTAGGACATCATTGTCTTGCTGCTTGCAACATTTCAGGGGAAGAAGCTGATGTCAGATTAGTTCAGTGCTGCGCCACTGTCAGGATTTTAGTTTGGTTTGGGGTTTTGTTGTTGGGTTTTTTTCAGACTCCAGACGGAATGGGACTGGTATCCCCGTCTTCCCTAGCGTGCAAAAACTAGAGAGAAAAGCTTCTGTGTGGTTTGCCTGTTGTTAATTGGGCTAACAGCTAGCTTTTGGCTAAATACCCAGGAACCTGGAGAGTTTTAGATGAAATAACTCGATCCACATTGCTTTTATCAAATGACCCGGTTCAGTAATTCCCAGCCAATGGAATTCCAGTAATTCCAGCCTTCCCAGCGTAAGGAAGGGTATGACCTGCACCAGCACAGCGCTACCAGCTGATTTCTTCTATTTTTTACCTCCGTTTTATCAACTTCCTTGGTTTCTTCCCCACTTCGCATCTGTTACTGATCAAGCTTGCATGTAGTCAGAATAAATTAAAAAGGAAGCAAACAAACAAACAAACAAACAGTAGTATTACTGCTGGTTGTGCTCTTGATTAGGCTAGGTATAATACTTTCAATCTGTAATACAGCTGAATTTGCCTAGGAACTGGAATTCATGCCCTTCTCCAGACTATTTGGCTTTTCCTGAATACTGCTATCTTTGAGACAGTTTGGCACATGACAGTGAATAAAAGCAAGCACTCCTTATGTTTTTCAGTAGCTGCCAAGATGCTGGTGTGCAGGGAAATGATTAATATAGAAGCGAGTTGAATGTAAATTATTGTTGTTTAGGGTAGGTGGTGAATTATTGACAGAGAGGGGAACTGCATTACATAAAATGCACTTGGTTACAAGGATTGCCAAACTAGCATAGAGATGTTGAAGATAATGGCAAAGGGCAGAGAGAAGTTGTTTCTGTTTTTAGTACACGGACATATGCCTGTTCCCAAAAAGAAATGCTTGGATTTAAAGTCATACATGAAGCCACGGCATTTGTGATGGCTCAGTCTGCAGCATAATTTATACGCGATAAGGATAGCTCTAGAAAAGGACTGCGTATCCGTATGCCCAAATGCAGCCACATTCTTCATCACAGGAGGCTGGAAGTTTACGTCCTCCAAAGACAACTGAACAGTACATGAGCGTTCCTCCACGCCACGGGAACCCAGCAGCCTGAGGAATTGCTTTCAGAGAACGGTTTTCATTTTAAGTTAGTGGCAGTGGAAAAGTGGCGGCTCAGCTGCAATCCAGCCAGGTGGGGTATGCCCACCTAGGACGGACAACTTGTGCCTTGCATTGACAGCTCCAATCATTCAAATGGTGGAAGTAACTGTCTGGCAAATGACTGCATGCTTCTGGGCGACCTTTCCTGGAGGGATCCATCTCTCAAGATAAAAAAGTAATCTGGTTTCTCTACCGTTTTCAGGGACCTTAGTCCCTTTGCTAAAAATGCTATCAAAATATTCTTGTGGCGCAGCTCCTACTGGAGGGTGACTTGAAATTGTATGCATGCTTTTTTAAGATCACCAAATGGTTTTAACGGGGTAATGAGTTTTACTTGCCGTAATGTTGGTTGGATCTGACCTAGCAGTGAACAGAAAAAGACTCTGTAGAGTGTTCACACGCCTTTCGCTCTTCTAGTCCTCCATTAAAGGAGAGACCTTTGTTAGATGTAGGCTGTGGCTGTCCAGCTCCTGCACCACAGTTAAAGACTGCTTATCTTATATATACAGTATGCACAGTGATACTGCTCAGCAACCTCAAAAAGTCACTTTCTATATTTGTAGCTGAGAGATATACAGCAGTGAACTCTATGTCATTAACAATAACTTAAGTATGTTATCTTTTGCTCCACAGTTTTCCATGGTTTATTAATGGTATAACACATTAATTCTTCTTACAAGAGTGACCTTTAAAGCTCCATTCAGCCTCACAGCTTTTATCCAATTACATTATCACTCATTACAGGTACAGCGTTTCAAAATCTGCATTTTGTTAAAAGAAGTAAATTGCGGGGGTCTCAAACCTATGAAAAATATCAGGTGTGCAGGGAAAGAAGATTGGAGAGGAGAGAACAGGAGATGTCCTGCCACTGAGATGCAGGTCAGATGCTTAACTCCACATCTAACATCTAAATGTGATGCTCACTCTACTAAGGACAAAAAAAGTAATGGGAAAAAATTGAAACTCGATGCACTGTACACGGAGAGCAGTAGGGCCAAGCAAATTAAAGATGAAATAGATTATTACCTACCACAGTTAAAGAGTGTAGGGCTAATAATAATAATAAATGCATTAACAATTAACAATGTGATATTTACAAAATATTTATATAATTGTAAGATACCATATAAATGGTATACCATGGCCAAATAAAGTTACTTTCTTTTCTAGAAGGCGTAGAAGCATATTTTCTGTCTGATATACCTAACCATCATCAAGATTAGCAATGATCATGTGTGCACAGTGGGAGAGTAATACACTGGGAGCTGGATCGGTTTTGAACTTTGGACATAACTATGGGTCTTCCTGGTGTCTATGTAGGTAGAATATAGACAACAGAGAGCCTGGGAGAGACCCAGAGAGACACAAAAAAATTTACAACATAGCACTGAAGTATCACAGAAGCAGCTTCTTTTGTTCTTTGCGCCATCTCTGAAAGTGGCCAGCAGGAGATGTTTTAGGAGTAACACATGGTAGCAAAGGTACAACAATCTACCTCACTAAATTCCCTAAATGGACCTTGATTTACATCCTGTAATCTTAACTCAGCTTACATTCAATCATTTCATGGAATGAAATGTTTCAGTTAGAACGACAAAGAATGGGGGGTTGTAGACATTTTACTTATAGACACAAAGAACAGTCTCTTTAACACATCAGACTTGTAAAATCACCACTAGGACTGTCATTATTTAGATGGTCTTCAGGCAAAGAGGTAATGTTGACAGGAGGAAGTATTAACACTATTTTGTGGAACAATGTTAAAGTCAAGACTTTTTGCAAGATACAACATCAAACTTGTTTTTTTGAATGAACCTGGTGATTGTTTTGCTTATTACACGAAGGTAAAATAAAAATAATGCTCCATGCAGCTTTTTAGTGGACTAAGGATTAAACCTGTAATTTTGCAAAGATGTATTTGCATATGTAGACTTTTAACTTAAAGGGATTTTTTTTGAAGTTTATTCATCACTTTTAGATGACACAGTACAATATCATGGGTCTTTAGTGCCCACCATTACACAGGTCACTGTCTTTAATGTATGCCATTAAACAAACAGCATTTATTAACTTATTGATCAAGCAATATCTGAAATAACACAGGTCTCTGTTTTACAAGCCTGTAAAAGTTCAGATACTCCTCCTGATGTGATAAGTCTGTCAAGTTTTTTTACTGACATCAACAAATGTAGTATTACGGTCAACCCGTGACAGCTCACAGACCACTGGCTGGCACTGGCTGATCAATGCCCACTTTCCAATACCATCCATTAATCGTTATAAGGAGGGACAAATGAAACTGAGCTTACCTATTGTGTTAGCTCTGGCTGAAGGACTAGCTAATGTTGCTGGCACAGAGGATTTTAGTGCACTGGCCCCACTATTTATTCTCAGAGTTGGCATATGAGGAGAGGTGGGTGATGTGGGAGACTTGCCATCAGATGTCTTGGGTTTGGCTGAAAGGTTCAGAGGCTGGGCCACATCATCCTACGAGGAGCAGAAGAGAAAAGAATGTTATTAAAAATCTGCTGTTGGCACACCACCGTCCAAGCAAAGACAGTTGTTTGCAACTCATACGAACTTCTAAACCTGAAAGGTTGCATGATACATATTAAGATCAAATGTGATACCACCTTGTCATTTCAGCATGGAACTGAGATGACTGATAAACTGGAAAATTAGCATGACATGATCGGAGAACATCCTCCATTTGCACTTGGTATGCAAGAATTGTCTCTGAAGAAATTATTCACATCAACAAGATATATGCTTCTGTGATGAAAATGACGAGCATTTTTAGTTTATAATCTATTGTTATTTTAACTTGATACGGATGAATTAAATAAGAACTGAAGAGCATTTTCACTTAAAATTCAACCACCACCACCCAAATTGGGCAAACGTGTTTGAGTGAATGGGTTTTCATTTGAGTTCTTTTGTTGGTCTTTTTTCTTTTTTCTATGTTTAAAATTGTGCTTTCCTCTGAACTTCCCAGGCTTAGAATTCCAAGCACAAAAATGTCATAGGAAATAAATGCTTCTCTTCCACCACAATAAAAAAGCAGGAAGAACCTGCCCTTTCTTTCCACAAAATTTGAAACAATAACCTGGATAATTCTGCGTAAGCCCCCACAATTTTTACAACTTCTGTGGAGCTGGACTTCAAGATTCCAGTAATTACTATTATGCAAAAATAGAAAAATTGGGTGACAATTTTTGCAGGGTAACTGGAATTGTTCCTAAACCTGGCTTGATTACACAGAGTAACAGACAGTGCTATAAAACACATTAGAATTCTAAGTCATGTATTTTTGTTCGACCAAAATAAAGTACAATAAGGTAAAAATAAAACAGGAAAAAGCTTTTCAGCAAGGCGGATATTTTAGAAGTGATTTTAACTGACTTTTAAATAACCAGAACTAATGGATATGGTATTAGATCCACCCATCACGCATTAGCTTAGCTTTCCTCTGACGCCGTGACTTAGGAAAGCCATCCTTTAGCTCTGGGAAGTGTTACACCACACCATTGGGTTTCGGCTCTGGGCACTCAAGCAGCTGATCCTGATCTCCCCAGGTTGTAAGTACATTCCCTGTTACAGCGTTATTCCTAACTTACAGCAATGCAAAGCTGACTGGAATTAGACCCATACTGTTTGAGTGTTTTCCTGTTACCGCTAAGGTATCTGTAACTACTATCAGATAGTACTGATTCTTTTCCACAGAGGGTGGTGCGGTGCAGTAAAGAAAGCATTTTATAGTTGCCTATAGCTTCCGGAGGTATGATGTAGATGTATGTCTCCGAACACAGAACAATTCTGCAAAGCACTGTCATACAACTTTTCCATTACCTTAAAGAAGCAAGCTCTGAGCAAAGCACTTTTGTTGTATTTTATTATTTCCACGCTTTTGTAATAGTCATGGTTAAAAATAAAGTAAAGCTTAGCAAAGAAATATATCAGGGACATCGTGGACAAAGCTGTCATCCTTAAAGTGGTATTTAAGCCATCCTAGATGCAACCTGTGCATCAAATAAAGGGGAAAAAATCAATGCATAAAATGGACATAGGGGCCTATATTCTGCATTCTTAGAAGTGATTTAGGCACTTAGATGGCAGAGTTCTTAAGCCTCGGGGTTAAAAATGTCACCCAGTTCAACCCCCATTTGACATTTTAAGAAAGTATTCGTTAATTTACAGAAATACAAATCCATCTGTATTAGAAAAAAACCAGATTAACATGTTAGCCAAATGGGACTTGCTCTGCTGTTCCGCCGATTTCAATTTAAAAAAAAAAATCCCTCAACGGTGCAACCGTAATGTTGCAAAATCAGTATTGAGATAGTCGCTTGAAAGTGTAAGTACAAACTAGCCCACAGACCAACCAAACACCGCGACCCTGTGCCAGACAAGGATCCCTGAAGAGCGAAGTCATCTGTTTGGAAGACAGTATCAGAAGTGATGCAAACCTGCCCACAGACTTGTCTCGGTTCAACCCAAGAGAGGTTGGTTTCCATGTATATTCAGTTCTTATAAGTCTGAACAAAAGGGGCTGATTAGGATCAGATATGGCAGGCAAAGGCGCAGTGTGCTCTCTGGCCACTGGAAATCTGACCGAGAGCAGCACTTTGGTTCAGAGGGAGCAGCAACCAGGCCCTGATGGGAACGGCTCTCCCTCGCTGCAAAGCCAGCTTGGATTCCAACCTGCATCCTTGTGCTGAACGGTTTTTTTCAGTCTTGTCCTTTTGACTCAATCCCTCAGCTATCCTGTCCCTATAAAGTTTATTTCCTTCCCTTCTCTCACTCCTTCTCCCTTTCCTCAGTTCTTCTATTCCTTTTTTTTTTAGCCTGGTGTGAAGGCAAGGTCTTGTGCAAGTCCACTACAGAACAGTGGGTTTGGTCTCATTTAATGCAAGTTAGAAATGGGGGAGGTGGTTTTTTCCATCGTAGACATCCAGCAATGAAGCTGTCTGCGCTGTAATTATTCTTGGTAGTAAGAACACTCTTCTTCATTCAAGTCAGCACAGCCTTCTCTGGAGCCAAGAAGTATAAGGCCTTGTGGAAATAATAGAAGTCGACAGTTCCAGAGCTGATAAATGTCATTCCAAATTGCCCCTTCATTCACTTTCATTGTGTGTTCAGGCTAACGGTAAATTAATCGGAGGTCACAGAAGCTTGGTTCTCATAAAGGAGGATACGTAAACAATTTTCAGCTATTATATGTATTTACAAAATGATTGATACTACTTCGCTGTTTGATCTTCATAACAGTTTTACTTCTGTTATTTCAAAGAGCATTCTCAAATCCTCACTGGAAGTCAAATACATTAAAAATTCAGTCAGAGAGTTTAGAAATCCTACGTTGGATCATGACTTGATAATAATTTAAGTAATTTCCTTTACCACAGTGGACCTACACTGATTTATTCCATGGGACTCTAAAAAATATCTGGGAGACAGGTAATAATATACAATTGTGTTAAGTGTGAAGATGACTGTTAGGCTTTTCTCAGTGAGCCATTTTACTCTTTCTCCTATCCGCAGCCGTAAATTCAAAATTCTCTGCTCTTCCAGTTTAAATCAAGAACTGTGCTCTCTTCATTATTGATTTGCACCTGCGTAATCACAAGAAGAATTACGTGTTGGCTTACCTTTATTTTTACCTATAAAATCTCCCAGCTAACGTTCTGCCACATTATAGATTAGCAGGCTTCACTCTCAGTTTTATCAAGGCTGTGTATAAGTGCAGCCTGACAGCTAGGGCAAATAAGAGTAATAAAAAGAAAAAAATAGAGGTAGCATATTCACTCCAGGCAGACGGTATCTTCCAAGAGCCAGGAGACTTGATTTTATACAGTGGGATCACAGAATCTAGAACTACTCCCTGTGTTCAGTTTTTATTAGAGAAAGCTCAGTATTGATTGGTCCCTGCCTTTTTTTGACAAGCAGTTATTCTAAGATGCCCTTGATAAGGGGTTTTTTTCAAGTCAGTATTTTTTAAAGAGTTAAACAAAGTCAAACATTTATTTATGTATCAGCCAAAACGATTAATGCTTAGACCAGAGGACGTTAAGACCCAAAAGGCTTGTAATAATATAAACACAGATGTGATGAAAGTAAAATATCATCTTGAGTAAAGGTTATGAAATGTTTCCTTTAAAGTAGCGCATTTGTCTAACCAAACAAAACACACACAAAAAAAATAAATGTAGAGAATAAAGCATAAGCGAAAACACACGACGGAGGGCTAATAAAATGAAGTACCCACAGCAAGAGCAAAGCATTGGTAAAGAGATTCCCATCCCCTGTATCACAGCAGTGTCAGAATAGTCGCTATTTTAGGGAGAGCTGGTGGTTGCTTCCCAGCATAGGAAGACTGTCACTAACCAAAACTTTGGAGCTTGGGGAACTTTAAGTTCTCAATTTGCTCTAGATTTTTTTTCCCCAGCTGATCTCTAGATATGAGAGGGAAGAAAGAAGAACCCTTTATCTACACCAGAATGCGGGGTTAACCAAAATATTCGAGAGCTGTATTTTGTAGCTTCACTCAACCTGGATTTGTATAACTTTGAGCTTTTGTATTTAAGCATCAGACACTGGAAATCTCCAAATATAAGCGCCTGACAAGCAACATTTAAATAGAAATACTGCTGAATACTTGAGTGTGCATCATACTGCTTTTATAAGGTTTGTATGGTCCTTTGAAAAGGTAAAATGCTAGGTAAACACAAAGCGCTTATTAATATAGGACGAAAAAATGAAACGGGGAGAAAAGGAAAGGGTTTGGTCACAGTCATATGGTAATGTAGCGACAGAGTTTCAGACAGACCCAGGAATTCTAACTTGCAGTCACCTATGTTGCAAATAGTTGGCTGAAATGGTGTCTTTTCTAATCTTTCAATCATGCTGTCTCTATTTACTTCCTCCGAAGATAAAAGGTTAATTTATCTCTATGGAGAATGGATATGGAATAAAATCTGGTTTTGACAGTCTCTCTAAACCGTTTATTAAAAATGGCACTACTTCAACACCAAGAGCTGAATAAAAATCTGATAGCCCGGATGAATGAACCAGTCTCAGAGGAAGAGAAATAGGGTGGTGGTGGGGAAGAACCCAGACGATTCATTTGGATTCCATAATCTCACTTCTTTTCACATATTTTAAAGATTAGTATACTATTAAAATACAGTTACTGAATTATTGTACTGTCATTTAAATCCAAGTGCTGTATTCCACTGTGGCACACGCTGAAGGTCCAGGCTGCACGGTTTATTACAAAATCATGAACTACTGTGTGTATCATCTGACTGGCAACACAAATGTGCTTAAATGACCTGGCATAAGCACAGCCTAGCATGCTCTGCTAAAGAGGCTTTTCATGACCTCTGGGAACACATTCGCCACATCTTGCTGCCTATTTAAATGACCTTGACAGTACAAATCACAGCCAAATGAGTTAGAAATAAGAAGCCAGAGAGGGTTTTTTCCAA